CAGGGATCAGGAATCAGTCCCAGAGGCAGAGCGCAAGCCAGAAATCAGAGCCGAAGAACATATCTGGAGTCCAAAGCAGGGACTGTTGTAGCAACAGGCCAGGTATTGCTAGGTCACATAGAGAGCTTCCTGAAACACCTTCCATGCTTAAATAGTGCGCCTGCTGATTGGGTCTTCCGTGGGTGGCACTTCCTGTGGTGCTTAGTTCCCTCCAGGGTTGATAGTGCATGAATTGTGGCTCTGCCATGGCTACCAGATGGTGACATGGAAGTGTTAGTCAGCTGGAGCCCTGCAGACCCATGTTCCAGGCCTCTGGATCCTTACGAGGGTATGAAAAAAGCAGAGAAGGGGGATGGAATAGACTGTGCCAGGTGGGTTTGTGCACAGGTGGTTGGCATGAGTGGCAAGGATAGAACAGCCAACAGCCCAGGGACAAAGAGCAAAGAAAATGCAGAAAGGGGAGCTGCAGAGTTGCATTAGTGTTCTCGTAGAATACCTGCCAGCAAAGAGAGATTTACTCAGCTTTATTCAATGATGTTTCTAGGGGGTGGGATTTCCTAGTTTATGGCTTTATTATGAACAGTTTGCTGTGAATGTTCAATATGACACATTTAAAATTTGAGCTGTGCTGCTTGGTTGGGGTCACTGACCAGACACATCCCAGGGTAATGTTTCTGTGCCCTGATTGGATGAAAATGCACGTACTTGCGGCCTGAATAGCTGCTGCACATGCAAATGTAAGACACGAGTTTCATGAACACTCCCACATTTGGTCAGATACGACAGTTGTGTATGTGTGGGTGGGAGGGGGCATATCATTAGATAGGGCAGGTAGCTGCAACTTTGAAATTGGTTTTGACACTTTCTTCCCATTATCTTCCGGAAACTGCCTAAAAAGGGGAATACACTCTGAATTTTAGAGAGTAAAAATATCATGATCCAGTTGAAATGACATCTGAGAGCATGTTATTGGGGCAAGCAATTTAGAGCCAGGCCCTCCACCTGGTTGCTTTCTATTGATTACTCCTCTTGTTCATCAGACTTCTTGGGTCGATGCTGTTCACAATACTGTCTGTGTGTTCAGCCTGGAAAGCTTCTCTCAGATCACACCCCGCCCCAAGATACTAATATCCCCATACCTTAGGAAGTCTGGCTCCAGTTCAAAACTTGCACAGCTGGCATCTGACTCTACAAGAGATGACACCTGATCCATGTCTCCACTCCCTGAACTTGGGGAGTGTTTCGATCCAGATCTGAACTTTGTGGCTAAGGCCCATCGCTGTACTGTTTAAATCCTATGCTCTGCATTTTGCTGCTGGGAGAGACGATATATAATGAAGCAGATTCTGATACAATATCATTTTGTATAGTGTCTTCCCCACATCTGTATCCCAGTGACATTGGCTCTTCTGGATTTATTTCACCCATATTTCAGACGATACCTATTTCTGTAGCATACCAGATGATGATGCAATAGAGACCCATTGCATCATATTTGCAATACTCAGTTATTCATGCATTTGTAGAAACCCCACCCTCACTTACTGTATGTGTATTTCAGCTTCCTTAGAGGAACTTATAAAATGCTACATAAACCTGGCTAGATAGAATGAACTTGTACCATCAAGCCACACAGAAGATGTGCAGGAATAAAGACGATAGGAGCACGTGAGTACCAAGAGCTGTATTCCCAGATCCATTAGCATTTAACAAAATATTTATTGATTGGCCTTATAGTCCTCTGCATCAAATCTGGGTTTCATTCCTAGCCTCTACTCTCTTAGGTGCCTTTTAGGCTCTGGGCCTATCTACCTCTTTAGGTGCCACCGACATTTTCAAACCCACCGCTTGACTGCTGGCTAATCCCATAGGCGCTTAAATCCCTAAGGTGCCTAAATTTCTGCCACTCAGCATTTGCAAAGCCACCTAAGCCCTGACACCACCCCACAGCTAATGAGCAGGTTGGAGTCCTGGCTCAAGCTGAAGTCCCAGAGGCCCCACAGTAGGATTCTCATACTAAGCAGGGGAAAGCCAGTCTCGCCAGTGGCACCCAAACTGGTAGATGTGCTCTGGGCACATGTAATACTCCTGGGGAAATTCTGCACCAAAAAATTAAAAATTCCATGCACAATATTTTAAAATTCAGCATATTTGATTTGTCAGAAATAACACAATATAATCACGCCAGTTTCAATTATTTTGGTAATTTGTTTCAAAATACCTGTCAGCAAGTATGTCTGTAACAATAGAGACAACAAAAAAGATCCAGGAAATGTTTTTGACCAATAGATTCTTTACTAGGCATGTTAATACAGAACTCTGAGTAATAATTCATTTAAACTTCAATATAGAAACGTATTTCCCGCACCCCTCATAAGCAGTGCAAAGGCTTGGAGGAGCCAGGGGTAATGGAGGAGCTGAGGGAGAGGGAAGTAAGTGCTGGGAAGGAGCCTGGGAGTGAACCTGGATGGTTGTTGGGTGTGGGTGGGAGAAGTATGGAATAGGGTGTTTTTTATTGGGGGGAGGGGGAGTAATTGCTAGGGAGTAGGAGAACCTCCCCCATGCAGATCCTGACTGACCCCTGGCCTTTTCCATTCAGTCAGGCACATCTGCCTCTGTCGCCATGTGTCCCTGCACCCCCTCAGCCATGCCCCATCACCATGTGACCTGCATCCCCCTGGTCCACAGTGTCCCTGCACCGCCACTCCCATTCAGCTCCCACCCCAGTCTGGCCCCCCCACTAGCCCTTCTGAACCCCAGTCTATGTGATCCCCCCTCAGCAGCCCCATGCCCCCCACAGTTTGTCCCCCCCATATGCTATGCCTCCTCACCTGGCCCCACGGACAGGGTGCTGTGAGGAATGCAGCCTCTCCTCCTCTCTGCTGGCTGCTACAGTGAGCTGTTCTGGTGCCACAGCAGCCCCTGGTGGGTGAAAGGCATAACTGCAGCGCCTCTCCAGTAGAATGTATTTTCTGCAGAGGAAAAAGGTCTGCAGGGTCCATTAATTCTGCACATGGTCAGTGACACAGAATTCCCCCAGGAGTAACATATGACCTGATAGTTGTCAGACCCTGCATCAGGAGGGCTGGATGCAGGCCACCATTAGGGGAGGCATAGCACAAAAGACAGCACACAAAAGAGTTGTGGGCACACAGAAACATAGGGCAAGTGTGAGAGAGCTATCACATGAGAGAGACAAAGTCTGTTTTGGCTGCTAGGACGCGGCTTACGTAAGTGACTGACCTGGCTTAGGTGCCTAATTCCAGGAGAGGGCTTGGAGCTGAGGATCCTGAGCAGAGGGAGGCTCATCAGCCAGACATGCCAAGTCAGCTGCGTAGGTGCCTAAGCCATTCTCCTCTAGATGTCAGCTCTGGTGAGCTTAGGCAGCTCGTCAGCTTCTCAGAATCCCTTTCGTAGGCATCTAGCTCTCCCCATGCATTGAATGGGTGCCTAGGCAGCTTGCTGGAGGCTGAGGACACCACTAGGCAGCAGACTGCTTAGGGGTTACAACACTGAGTGAAGCAAGACTTAAGTACCTTTGAGGCTCAGTGCCTTAATCGCCAGACCACCGGCGGCCGCGAGTGCTGCAAAGACAACACAAGCAGCCCCGATGGGGGCAAGTGCCTACCATTGTTCACCAGTGACTTCTACAGCTGATCAAGGAGTCACTTCCACAGGCTATAATGAAAATCATCCAGTCTGGCCACCCAGAAAAATGGTGGTTTGTATTGTGGATCCTTCACTCGGGTAACGTCAGATGATATTTGCAGCTTCCACAGGAATGTGGAAGACGCTCAGGGGTTTATAGAAAAGAAAATGAATCCAATTCCTGCTTGTTTCTTTCTCTACATTTAGGTAAAGTGGTTGGAGACGCAAGCTCTCTGCTGACACAATAACCAGAGATTTACAACCTGCCTGGCTTGCGCTGTCCTGTGTGTATCTGACCAGACTGTTAGTGTGCAAATCCTGCCACAGTTTGTTAAGGATCTATTTTGCTGGCGCACTGCACAACAACCAGGCTGAAAAGAGCAGCTCTTGTCTGAGTGACTCTGCAAGATATTCAAGTACCACAAAATCTCTTCCTATTCATCCTACCACTCTATTGGTATGTACCGCTCTCAGGTTGTCTCTATCTAGCTAAACAATGTACTGTTTTAGTGATAAAGTATTTGCTGTTGCCATAGAAGACTGACCCATATTTCATGCATTTGGGCTTCACTGTAAAGCACTTTAGTCTTTCCACCTCTTGGTTTTTGCTGGCTGCATTTCAATGAGACATTTAAAATATCATGTATATATTTCTTTAAATCTCCATTTCTTGTTGTCTGCACTGCAGCTGGTGAAAGCCGCTACTATGGGGAAGATTATTTTTCTTCCCTTAACTTAAGAGTGGCTCAGAAGCCTTTTCACCGTCTCGGCTGCTGTTCTCGAAAGTGATGACCTACCAGCCTCTGATTGTCACGAGTGATGCTTGCTTTGCAAACAATTCAGTTCCCTCTGCCCTGTGATGGGGGTGGATTTCCCCTGGAGAGGCTGGTGGACAAAACATCAGTTTTGTTTCTGGGCAACATGAGGAGGAAACTGATTACACAGTCTCTTCACCTCTCCTTAAAAGGTCTCTTTCCCCCCTAACCCTGGGTAGTTTTGGGTTGCAGATGAACATGGAATTTAGAGACAGCAAAGCAGGAACACAGAGGCCATTTGTTATTTCAAGCCACATTTATTGGCTCTGCTGCACCCCGCATAAATAATCTCACTCACCTTGTTTTAGCTACAAAGGAAAGGACGGAAGCTGATTGTTTCTTTCTGCAGCAAATATTAACACGTGAATCCAAAGTGTTCTCTCAGACCGACGGGCTGGGGGCCAACTGGACCCCCCCCCCTTCAAAAGTTTTAGTCACTCTACCAGACAGCACCATTATTAGATGCAGTAAGAATGTTTCTCTTTGGAAAGGAATAATTTTTTATTTACAATTTTTCAACAAGATTTCAGCAGCATAATGGGGACCTTGAGCTCCAAGGTTTGGTACAAAAGAGACGCCCGGGTGGTGATGCTGGGACTGGATTTTGCGGGCAAATCCACCATCTTGTCTAAATTGAAGAGCAACGAGCTTGTGGAGACTTTCCCGACAGTGGGCTTCAATGTGGAGTCCCTGAAAACCCCATGTCATCTCCCCTTGACTCTCTGGGATGTGGGTGGTCAAGACAAGCTCCGCGCTAGCTGGAAGGACTATCTGGAAGACACGGACGCTCTCATCTTTGTGCTGGACAGTGCCGACAAAACCCGGCTGCCAGAGGCAATGGCTGAATTGGAGAAAGTTCTGAACAATGTACACATGACTGGGGTTCCAGTCTTGCTTCTGGCCAACAAGCAGGAGCTGCCAAATTCCCTTTCTCTCTCAGAGCTGCAGGAGAAGCTGAATCTGGAATGGTTCAGTGGCCGAAGCTGGGAGCTGAGAGGGTGCAGTGCTCACACTGGCGAGGGGTTGAGGGAAGCCTTAATGGTCCTGGCAGGACTTCTTAAGAGCCGGGATAAGAATTCCCCTGAATGCGTCTGTGCGCCACTGCAGTGATGAGGACATCTTTAAGCTCGGACGTGACTAGAGGGGTCAACTTGAGCATGAAACTGGAAAATCAGGTAACTTCCTCCACTAGTAATCCCTCAGCACTCTGTTCATCTCAGAAATAACCATACCAGGAGCAGAGGAGGTAACGGAACTCCATATGGCATGTGTAATATTCCAAAATATCCCATAGTTCTACTGCACCATGAAATCACATCAGAAAACCCCCTTAGCAAAGCTGCATTTGTGGACAGCAATGTTCTTGACCTTGCCTTGCCAGTTTTTCCTAATCTGCTGTACCAGTAAACTCGGCTCTCACTACAGGTATTACTCGGGTGACATTTATTATTTTGTTCATGTTAAATGTCTTACTCTATGCGTTCTGGATACGAGTTTTGACCTGATGAAGAAGATATTGCTGGGTGTCAGTCTTTATTTTTATTCCTCTAAGCTCAGATGCACTCAGTACAGAGTAAAAGTCCCCGAAGGGATATATTTGAATGACCTCAGTTCCACTTCTCTTACAATTTATAGCAGATGTTTGTTGATCTGAAACAGAGCAGAATGGAAAGAGAATGGCTGAACAAAAGAAATTAAGCACAAGAATTTAAACAACTAATTGGCAATCGGTTTTAGCAGTGTCCTTTGTGAGCATCATGCTAGGCCACTGAAGCGTGATCAAGATTAGGTTGTGTGTTATGTTTTTAGAACGTCTGTGTGGATTTGTGCGTATCCTGTTTTGTATAATTTTTGACATGTATTTAGACATGCTTCATTTTTATTGAAACAAGACTATAAATGATAAACATTTTGTCCTTGGGTTAATTTAAAACCTGAGGAAATCAAACAGGAATGAGCACCATGATGAGTTTTAAATGCTAGGAACAGATGTATGCACACCAGAGCTCTAATCTGTCTCAAAATATCCTGATGCTGAAATCTATTAGATGGTGGACTAGTCTGACAAGAGGAGTGCTAGGAGATCTGTCTATTGGGTGTTTTAAAATTAGACTAGATAAAACACTAAAAATGCACTGTAGAAAAGGCAGGGTGATAGTCTAGACTAGAGGACCTTAACTTCTGCTGTTTTCAGTTGGAGTTGAAGTACTCAGCAGCTGTCAGGTAGTGCTGGGCACATTTCAGGATCAGGCCCCTGCTATGTAGTGAAAGTCTCTATTTGATTCCATTGACTCTTACACTGAAGAGTACTAGGGTGACCAGATGACAAAGATGAAATATCGGGACGGGGGGCGGGGGAGGCTGGCGGAGAGAAAAAAAAAAAAACCAACCGGAGCGCCTCCCTGCTGTTGCCCTTGCCGCCGCCAGGCAGCACAGCCCCATCTCCACCCGACTCTATGGTGGCCGCAACAGCTGAGCCCACCCCGGCCCAGAGCTGCCAAGCCCACATGCTGCGCTAAATTCCCGGGGCAGCCTGGCTCGCTTCCCGGCTGCCCTCCCCGCCCGGGCTGGGTCGGGCCGCTCCGTGAGCCATAGGCGCTGCACAGGAGGACCAGGCCTGCCTCGCCTTCTACCAGGGGCTCGGGCAGAGGGAGCTGCTGCGGGATCTCTGCCGGGCCGTGCTCACCTTCCTGGAGAAGCTGGACTGGAGCAGTTCGCAGGGTGAGTGCTGGGGGCCACCCCCTCCCTTCAGACTTGCGTCACCATACAGCTGATCAGTGCAAGCCTGGGAGGGAGGAGGAATGCGGCATGCTTGGGGAAGAGGCGGGGCCAGGGCGGGGATTTGGGAAGGGATCCAATGGGGCAGTGAGGGGCGGGGCTGGGGGCGGGACCAGGGCAGGGGATTTGGGGAGGGATCCAATGGGGGAAGGAGGGGGCGGGGGGGGTCCACCTGTGCGCCGGAGCGGAGGGAAAAATTGCTTGTTTGTCCGATGTTCGGTCGGGACGCGGGACAAACAAGCAAATATCGGGACAGTCCCGATAAAATCGGGACGTCTGGTCACCCTAAAGAGTACTTTTACACATGCATCTGACGAAGTGGGTATTCACCCACAAAAGCTTATGCTCCAATACATCTGTCAGTCTTAAAGGTGCCACAGGACTCTCTGTTGCTTTTTCCAGATCCAGACTAACACGGCTACCCCCTGATACTTTACACTGAAGAGTGGCCCTGTGAAGCCACTCCTGTAGGGAGGGCACATACAAACAACGAGGAACCTTTTGTTAAACTTGGAAATTTAAACCAAACCAAAACCACATTGATTAAGATGAAAAACCTTACTACGTTTGTTAGCTTGTACTAGATTATTATGCTATCAATGGAAAGGGGGGAGGGGACCCAACCCAAGAATATTAGGCAGCTGGAGTCAGCAAGTTTCAAAGAGGAATGTACCCATGATGCAAAACCAAAAAGAAACATGCACTTTTCTTCTGATCACGCCAATGCACTTTACAGACATAAATGATTTAAGCCTCAAAACATTACTGGGAAGTAAGGCGGTATTATCTGCCTCATTTTACAGAAGGTGAAACTGGGGTCAGGTTAAATAATGTGACAAGAAGCACGTGGCAGGGTAGCAATAGAACTGAAGCCACCTGACTCTGAGTGATATGCTCTAGCCACAAGATTATTGATGGGAAATCCTTCCTAATGAGACAGGCCAGAATTTTCAGACAAACTAAACTATATAAGGAATAGTATGTGCTATGTTGTGAAAGTAAATAAATGGCCCAGTTTTGATTTGGCATAAATGATTGTTGCTATCAGTAAGAGTGCCATATACTAGACTTGCACTGAAATGCATAGTGAACCTGTGTTCTAGGCAAGGCTGTAGCTTTACGTTACAAACACACACATGATCATTTGAAGGATACGGTCGTAAGAACAGTTTGAAACTGCCGTTGCTGTAAACGGGTTGATTTTCCCATTGTTGGTTGTAAATGCAAGATTCCAATAAACCAAAGAGATCACTGAGACCTCACATACGAACTGAATCATTTTAGCTTCCACTTGTCACTGTGGCTTTTTCACAATCTCCTTGCCCAGGCATCTGAACGCAACAGGTCAGATTCTCACTCCCCGCTCCAGCTTCTTAACACCAGGTAAAAGGGTGGAAGGGGCTTTACAGCTGTAGGTCAAGCTGGGAGAGAATTCCGTTAGAGCAAGAACTGAGACTGATGGCCTCAGGTAGTCCTTTTGAGGGCCCCTTTCCAAGCCCTGCTGTAAGGGGCATGGCTGAAGAGGTGTGTAGCTGAAAGGATGTTTCAGGCCTGGGGCCATATCATAAAGGGCTGCTGCACATAGGCAGCCAGGGACAAGCTGCTGTAACCCTATCTACATGGAGAAATTGACTGGCAGAATGATAGCAGTATAATTCTAGGACTATATCTATGCCAATGTAACTCTCCATGTAGATTCTCTATTCTGGAACAAAAGTGACTCTCAGTATAGCTTTATTTCTGCTGACTGTTTTCCCTGTGTAGACATGCCTTAGGCTGGGCTGTTTAAATTTTGGCAGGGCCACTCTGACCCTTGGAGCAGCTTGTTGTTGGGAGAGTGCAAAGGTGCCTTAAAGCCCCCTGAGCCTGCCCCCCTCCGGTACTGCACCTCTTAGAAACCCAGCCCAGCAGCTCACCCAATAGCGGTAAATTAAAAAATTGATCTGGAAGGAGGGGAAGCTCTCATATGCAGACAATTATCTCAAAGCGTGTCTTGGCTTCTCAACTGTAAGCTCTTCGGGGAAGAGACTGGCTTTGTTTTTGTAGGCTGTATAGTGCCAAGCACACAACTGATGCTGACACAATAACAGCTACTGAATGTTCACACACTATGCTCTGTGGTGCCTTCATTCCCTCTTTATTATACAGTGTGTTCTGTATTCATGACTTTTCCTAAAAACAACAAACCACACGGTTTCTCCCTTGTACCCCAGCACGCGAAAATACAAATCAAGTACCAGATAAACAATTTTACGGAACTAACTGAAAAGGCACTTGGAGAAAATACAGGGCAGTTATTAGTATTCGAAGGCCTTCCGAGGAGTAAGTGTTTAAAAAGAATAAAAAACTATAATTCTTCCATCTGAGTTACTGCATGGTCTGATCCTATCAGATTTCACCAGGGAAGTATGTGCTTTCCATTCACACTGAGCAGCCACACACTGTCCGTTTAAAACACTCATTTTATTTTAGCATAAAACAAACGTAGTTTCCATTAGAGCACACTAAGCTGTAACTGGACTGAACACGAAATTGCAGCTGCTTCCAGCAAACTCCTAGGCCATGTCTACACTAGCACTTATGTCGGCAAAACTTTTGTTGCTCAGGGTGTGAAAAAACGCCCCCACCCAAGCAACATAAGTTTTGCTGACATAAGCACTCGTTTGCACGACGCTCTCCCGGCAACACAGCTACCGCCGCTCGTTGAGCTGGTTTTATTATGTTGATGGGAGAGCGCTCTGCCGTCGGCATAACGCGGCTACACGAGCGATCTTACAGCGGCACAGTTGTATCGGTACAGCTTGTCAGTGTAGACATGGCCCTAGACATTTAAAACTGCAAGACAGAGAACAAAATCCTAACAATTATGTAGCTACAGATACCACAACTAGCACTTGGCTGGAAAGGGATTCCTCAGCACTGCAGGAGTTAGGTGCTGCTGTTTCAGAAGCTGGCCTTCTTCCCATTGGGGGTTGTGACAAAAAAATAGGAGCACAGAACTTCACAGGTAAAGCTGAAACTTCACTGGTTAAACCAAGTGAATCTCCTCTTTGTGCTTGTGAAGACATTAGCCTGAGACTGAAACCCTCCATTTATCCATATACAAGGGGCCTTATTGGCAGGGTCGCCCAGAGGATTCAGGGGGCCTGGGGAAAAGCAATTTCAGGGCCCCTTCCATAAAAAAAAAAAAATTGCAATACTATACACAGGGCCGGCTCCAGGCACCAGCCCACCAAGCTTGTGCTTGGGGCGGCACCTGGAGGGGGGCGGCGCAGTGCTCCGGCTCCGGCCGCCGGGCAGAGCGGGGCCACGGCCGGGGCTCACCGCCCTCCCCCCCGGCGCTCTGGCCGCCGGGGACAGCGGAGCCCCAACTGGGGCTCACCGCCCTCCCCCCGGCGCTCTGGCCGCCGGGGACTAGCGGAGCCCCAACTGGGGCTCACCGCCCTCCCCCCGGCGCCCGGGGGGGGGGCGGGGCGGCCGGAGGCTTTTTTGTCTGGGGCAGCAAAAAAGCCAGAGCCGGCCCTGACTATACAATGCTATATTCTCGTGGGGGCCACTGTGGGGCCCAGGGCAAATTGCCCCACTTGCTTCCCCTCCCTCCCCCCCACGGGCGGCCCTGGGAAAAATAAACCTTCCGCATCTCGGCACAAACCCAGTTTTGAGAAAACTTCTTTACAAGGTATTACTGGTTCTCAGCCTCAGCTAGTGCTAAAAGGCACTAAATGTAAGCGGGGGAATGCTCCCGCTATTGTGGGGAACTTTCCTGGCTTATACACTACCCCGGTGAAGTGGGCTAGCGAAAGGATCTGAGTCCTCGCTCCCGCTTCCTTTACCCAGAGGCCTCCCTGCCCTTGAGGACTCCCCTTCCACTCTCCTGTCTGGCAGAGTGCTCGTAAACCCCGACAAGGCTGGGCCCAGGATTCCCAGGGGGCTCGACCCCCAACCCTGCTGTGGTCACCCAGGACAGGTGTCCCCACTCCGGGGTACTCTCTCTGCACTGGGCACCTCCCTGACCCACTGATCATTTCATACAATTTAAAGCAAATACAAGTTGTTTAATTAACAATTAATTTTTAAAAAAGAATAAGGAAAAATGGGAAAGGTTAAAGGAAAACACATCACCCTGCTCTGTGGCAGGGAACATCACAAACAGTGTCTCTGGAACATCAGGGCAGGTCACAGTCTGTTCCTTGTAGGTCCCAGGCCTCCTTCCCAGGCCCTGGCTGTGCTGCAGAGACGCTGCGGGTCGGACACTTGCTCTGGCGGTGGCCACACGCCCTCAGGCTCTAGGTGGCAAGAACCTTTCTTCCCAGCATCGCCCCCATCCTGTCAGGGTTATGATCCCCCTCCAAGTCTGGCCTGAAGGGCCTCTTGGCTGAGATGTCTCCCTGCGCTGGGCCCACTGCCCAGGGTCCCCCTCACTCTCCCCAGCTGCTCACCGCACCTGGCTCCGCACTGCTCCAGTCCCAGCCCCAGCTCCAGCTCCACCACTCTGCCTCAGTACAGCTGCTGCTCTGCCTTCAGCTCCCTGGGC